AGCAGGAGGAGCAGGTGAAGGTCTTATTTCCAGCCACAGGGCAGGACATATCCCAACTGCTGACGGGGGCAGACAGGATGTCTGTACTTTTACCATACCTGGTAGTGTGGATTGACATTGTGTATGTGTCTTTTTGGCACTAGGCAACTTCAAGTTGGACTATCAGTGAGTAGGAGGTACTGGTCCAGACAGGGTTTCAGGTGGATAGAGAGCCTGTGCTGGTGTTCAGGAGGGACCAGTGAGCATGGGGTGCCTGTAAGACAGGAGCACTTGTAAGACAAGGTACTTGCTGCCAGCCAGGCCAATGAGATGGATAAAAGGGCTCTGGACCAAGGCAGAGAGGTATTAACTGGAGAGAGGGATCCATGAATGTACATGTTCCCATTAATCTGGAGGAGGTCAGCAGGGGCGTACTGTCAATAGTGAACTTCAATCTCGACCAGATAAAAAGGCGAAAGAGTTCTTGGCTGGCTCTACTTTAAGTTTTGGCTGCATGCAATTCAGATGTAGGTGTCACACATGGGTGCTGTTGAAGGCAGTGCCTTGTATGAGGTGGTTAGCAGCATAGCTGAGCTTTGCTACTTGTTGAATCTGCTGACAAGAAAGCAACTGCCACATCTGCAGACCTGGGACAGAGACCTCCAGGTCTGTCTATGCACTGAGCTGTACACCAGCAGCAGGGCAGGAGGAATCCCTGGATGGATCTTAGAGATGCTTGAGGTTGCAGCCACTTATAAAATCCCTTAATATAATTCATGGAAGATTTCATAATAAATATTCAATATAAAGGTTCTCTTTGTGAGTTATGAGTCTTGAACTACATACATCTCAAAGTTGAGAAAACTGTGCTGGGAAAAATGCCACTATATCCCTTTTTCTGTTTTCCCGTCTGTGGGTGACCATTAGCAGACACAAAAGAAAGGTCTGTTTATTCTAACAACTTGATTTTTAATGGCTGCCTTTACAAAACCAGGGTGCTGCTGAAGACTGAATAAGTAAAAAATACTTGTTTTGCCTTAAATCTAAGAGAAGTGAGTGAGATGCTTTATATAATTAGGGGTTTAAGCCTTAACAAGAGGTTATTGGCCTCATTTGTTATACTAAGTATTTCAGTGAAGCGCCATTCATGACTTCACATTCCCAACTATCATTATGCATGATTCTGCAATTCTAACAGAATTCTGCAATATTGTAATACAAAAATTATACCTTTGACATTCTAGTGTAAGGATTACTGGAGTTTACTCCCCACCCCAAACCAGGTTGCTGCACTTAAATCCTGAAGAGACAGGAAATAGGCAGTTTTCTTTGGGATGAAGATCATCTAAATTATCTTTTTTTTTTTTTTTTAAATCAAGCAACATCTTGATTTTATTAATAGTATTGGGTTCCAGAGCTTCACTCTTAGCCCCCAACAAGCTATGTGACAGTAAGCATGTCATTTAACCAGTGTGTCCTACTTTCACCATCTGTAAAATGCTTTGAAAAGTCATGGAAAACTGAATCACAGGTCTTTTCCATCTCTAGATTCTGTTAGGTCATCCAGTTGTTCATCTGCCAGTAAAAGATTGTTTCCTACATCCACCAGTGTTTTTCCAGTCTGGCTTCTGCCCTCCAAGTGATTGGGCTTCCACCAATACCTTTGGGAGATGATTTTGCAGACTTGTAGACCTCATTGACGGGAAGCCCTTCTGACATTGACAAGAAGAGATTTTTTTTTGTTGTTACTTTAATTATGTTACTTTATTCCCATTATTACATGTTTGCTTATAGTTTTAGAAGGTATGCAATTTATGCAACACCTTAAATAAAGGTCTAAGTAAGATGAAAACTCTCCATAAAGTATGTAATATATAGAAGGAAGGACAACATAAGGTTTAGAAATGCAGGGTATGACCCTCTGTAAGAAAGTAAGCTATGTGCTTTTTCCTGAAGTCACATCTCTGTAAGTAGGCAGACAGCTCCAAAATTAGTACAGAAACTGGACAGATTATGGAAGCATAACAAAGGAGCAGAATGTTAAATGGAAATGTTGCAATACTTATCAAGAATTATTGAGCAGGAAAAAAGGGAGAAAGGAACAAATATAATTTAGTTGTTGAACATGGAAGTCTTTCCCTGTATGGATTTTTTTTTAATAGACATGTCTCCCATAATTTGATTTGCATTTGAATCTCTACTAATACATTAATAGTTCTGAGCCGGTACTCACAAGTTGCTGCTTTTAAGGGTTTTCAATTAGCATCTTTCTTGTCCAGATCTAACCATATTGTTAACTACAGATGCAGCCCAAAGCACCTTGACATGTCTCATTTTCTCAAACTATAATGCTTTGCATGGGTACCTCCAATTTAAGTTTTCATCTTCTTTATTGACCACAATTGTGGGAAAATTAAAGTCCTTTGAGTCATCTGCTTTCCTGGAGTTTTTGAAATTCAGCGAACAGATAATTTTCTTCATGTGTTGAAACTACCGGCATTGCAATATTGGCTAGATTAGATGAAAGCCATCAAAATAACTAGGTTTCTTTGTACAAAGGTTTGGGGTTTTTTTGTATCTATGAGTGTGTGGAAGTTATTTGCAATCTACATAACAGTGGTTAAACTACTTACAAAATGGGCATCTGGCAAACAACTGGTATGTAACGTGATTTATTTGACCCGGAGCCCTAGGAGAAAAAAGCAAATATTCAGTGCATTCAAATGCTATGGTTAATAAGGCATTTTGTAATACAACATATATAATACATGTATTTTAAAATTCTTACAAATCTGTCAAGGGGCCATGTTTCATAAAATATTGAACTTTTAACAAAATCCACTTGTTCAGGATTTTTATTTCTCTATTTCAGCTGCCAATGGAAATGCTTAAGTATAGGGATGAAAACTGCATGTGTAGTCAGTCTCTTCAGAAAAGAGATAACTCCATTTCCATTGTCTTAAGCTTACATATTCACATATGTTTTTAAGTTCTGATGTTACTTCAGAGTTTAAATGAAACACGTAATATCTTATAAAGTTTACTTGTAGCAAAACAATAGAGGCAGTGTAAACATTTCTGTAAATAAAATCACCCTTCTGCACCCTTGGCTGTTAAAAATCTGTATTGCTCTCAGTTGCAGTAGATACAGTCAGATCAGATGTAAGTAGTGTTTTACAAGTCAATAAATGCAGTATTTATATACACACAAAAAAATCTATACAACAAACTGATTTTTTTCCTTTAAGAGATTAAGTGGGAGACACCATCAAGTTAGCATGTTTATGAATAAGGTAAATCTTAGAAAGATTTCATGAAGTCTGATCATAAGTAGAATAAAGATATCCTTCATCCACAGGAAATAAAGCCAGATGAAGTTACCAGACTTGCTCTTCGGACAGAAGTTAATTTTGAAAGTGTCTGCAAAAAGGTAAGCCTTGGTTTTTGTTTTCTTTTCCCCACTGTGTGAGTGTGAATGCTCCTTAGGAAAAGGTGTGTATGTGGGTGAGAGTACCTGCAGTGCATTCTGAATCATAGAACCCCAGAAGGGACCTTGAAGATCATCAAGTCCAACCAAAACCTAAACTTACTTCCCTTACTAAAGAAATTTATCCACTAGGATGTATCTACAGAAAAACTACAGCTGCTTAGTACAAGTGACTTGTCATCTGTGCTGGTGGGCTAATCCCTAGTAACTGAAATAGAATACCAAGAAGTATAGTAGTGGTTTTTGAATCTGTATAAATATATATTTTTTTTGTTTGTATAGTACATGTACATGGTTCAGTTAGTGTAAATAAGCTTTCAGCAGCTGCTGGAAAAAGGCTCTGAATACTTTCAGATGCAGAGAGAAGTTCCCACATATGAACAAAACATAACAAACATTAGCCTGACATAAAGGCAGAATTTTAACACCCTCATGCCTCATCAATTTCAGTGCAGTGTTTCTCCTGAAACTCACTGATGGCACATTATTAAATATTAATTGTCTTACTAGTGATATCTGTAAGAGATGAAATGAAGACATACAAGAGCAAAGATGCTTGTTGAAATAAGCAGTTGAGGTTGAGAACAGACCGGACACTAAAAGAAGAGTGAAGAAGAGCAAAAATAAGTACCATTTTAACGAGTACATGGCAGAAGCGATGCCAGAAAGCAATTCAGAATAAAAAAATATCAATAGATAAAATTGTATATTTTCCTTCACATTATCCTAAGTTCCTGTGGGTGGTCTGCTGAAGAACTCTGAAGTCTAAAATGTTCGTAGTCCACAGGCTAAGTGTAGAATTGAGTAATCTCTTCCTATAATGGCACCAATAAATAGTTTGTAATACAGCTGTGCTGTTGCAAAGCTCAGTCATGTGTGATGTAGTTCAGCTATTAGCATAGCGTGCAGTAGGATTTCCGTGCTTAATGTGAGCAAAATCAAGTTAAAAGGAAAATATTACAGGAATTTGGTATTTCTGGAGTAGTGTTTAGATGTGTCTTACTGCTTTTCCTTCACTGAATGACAGAAGAGAGTAAGGAAGAGGTCCGATATGATGACAAAGAGCTAAAATGCAGCATTCTTCTTTACAATTTATTTGACTGTGATTTTCCAGTCTGAAGGTAACCTGGTCAGCAACTGTTTACTCTGATGTTAAAAACAGTGCAGAAGTTTGTGAAGACATATGGTTGCAAAGGGATGCTAAATTCAAGCAGTTAGGGCATTTTGTCACTTCCTGTAGGAAACACTTGTGCTGAGGAATCAAATGCATCTGGCTTGTGCTCATTGCATAAATTATAGGAATCCCAAAGTGAAATAGCTGATACTATTGTTTTAAAAGACTTTACAGTTGGGATTTTATTTTCTAAGAGGACAGGGGTTTTTTTGCCAAGAATACAGAAGGAATATTATTAATCTTACTAATTGATTTTGTCCCATTTTAAAATGTATTCGTAACCATGACTGGCTGCATTTTTTTCTACATTTACTTAAAATAGGCTTTCATTTATCTCTAATCCTTGAAAGCAGATAATACAGTATCCTTATGGAATTGTTTTGGGTTTTAGAACTGTTGTTATTTCTTTCACTTTCTGCTGCTGGTCCTGTTTTTCAGTTGTATGAAAGTCTGTTAATCTCACACCTTGTAGTGAATACGTCTCATGTTTCAAATGAGGTTTATGGATGGGTGCTGGTGCTTGATGTTAAACACCCAAAGAGGGTTTTTAACTGCACTGCAGTAGAACATGTGCAATTATTACAGTACTATTGACAAGTGATGGCTAAGCCACCATAACTTTATTGGTTGGCCATAGCATATCCCTAACTAAAGAAAGCATGTCTTCTGTGTTTCAGGAAAACTTACTTTTTCGGTATACTATTTCTTCTTTTCCCACAGTTAGTTATTAAACATACAGTTAAAAAAAAGTAAAAATTATTTTCTACCCCTGGAAATATTCTGTAGGTCACATAAAATGCAGACCGCACTGTTTACCTTTTCATTAACTTCAGTTTCAAACTATTTGAAGGAAAACATTCTGTGGCTGTTTTCATTTTCAGAATAGGTTTGTTTTTATTGATAAAAGGCAGTCCGCTTTTAATTCACTGTGGAATGCTGAATATTAGTTTTGCATAGTGGACATGTAGTCAGGATATTTGTTTAATTCCTTTGGCCCACTGAGATTTTATGTTCCATTACTATGTTTCCCCATACATTTTTCAGAATAAGATAAATGTACTTTTCTGTTTTAAAAGAGTTTGCATAGATTTCAGTGAAGTACAAAAAAATCGTGCTGTGTTTAGCAAGTCCCATTTTAACATGAGTTCTGATGATTTAGCTGTCAATGTTGCTATGCTAAGGATTGCTAATAAGCACTAATAACTTGCAGAGTGAATTGGCAAGAATTACCAGCCACATGACACAAGACTTCTTCCTTTTCTAATTTATAAAAATGTCATAGGGCTTACCACATTACTGTAAAACAAGAAGCAGTAGGTGAACTGTTCTTTGTGCACCTCTGCTAAAATATTGCTGCAGCTGGCACCTTTGGTATGAACAGGTGATAAATTCTATTGTAAAAATTCTAATGAATGTTGCCATGCAGCTTTAACTAGACTTTAAAGTGTCAGTTCTTATTTACAGCTGCTGAAAAATTGAACCTGTAGGTTTTGACTAAGTTTTTATGTATGCTGTTATTTACTGTCTGTAACAGATATATTTCCCAGCCATTAATACAATTGAAAAACATGTGGCAGATTTGTTGTTTAATGTTTTTATGAAACTGGTGTTTCCAGCTATTATTGGATTTTGAGGTGTTCTTTACAGCATAGGTACCTGAACTGTTATGGGCGGCATGGTTCATTGGTGGTGTGCTCCATCTGGTCCTAAACATGCTGTTCATAAGAAGCAGAAAACTGACTTTGGAATTGAGAAAGTTCTTAAGTGTTATCTTCAGCTTATTGCTGATGTAGTTTTAAGGTAACTACAATAGATTTAAATAGGCAGCATAGATAGGTTAATATGTAATAAAAATTTTCTAGTATTAGAGAAATTGTATGTATCATCTGTGCTGTTTCCCCAGAAAAGGGGAAACCATCATAACCACAGTTGGTTTTCTTGCCTTTGCACTAGTGCTAGCAGATTCTGACTAACTTACTGTAGCATCTCATTTAGTTTTGTACCCAATAAGTCTTTGGCATTTAGGACATGAGGAAAAAAACCGTATTTTAAACACTGACAGAATTCTGCTACAGCGTAGTGATCTACGAGCAATGATCTGCAGTTCCCTCTTGCCTTAAGTCAAGATACTTCTTTTTTTTTCTAACTAAAAGTGTATGTACTTAAAAAATCAGTGACTTTCAGATTTTGGGAGTTTAGGAGAGGGAACTGAAACTCTGAAACTATTGTATTTTTATTTGAGTGAAGAATAGAGTATTAGTGTACCTTAGTGTAAGATTTTGACTTGAGCACATTCTCTGACTTGAAGATATACCAACAAATATTCTCAGGTGATAAATACATCCTCTTATTTTTTGCTTTCAAATACAATCTTAACATAACCTTAGTAACATAGTTTTCCTGTTTTTTTTGCATTGAACTTTAATCTATGGTCCTTGAGAAGAGCACTGTCTTTTCCTAAGTCCTGTGTTTTCGTCCATTGCTCCAATCTTGTACTCCAAAGAGGATTTTACATAGCAAATTTTTAGTGAATTGTGACTTTCAAGTTTGTTTGGGGCCATGCCACATCCCACTGAGTCTCAAGATTACTGAAAAGCTTGGCACAATTTCTAAGTGGGTTGAGAAATTTTTTCTAGACCAGCAATGTAAGCCATTACTAGCTCTTAGAAGCATTTTTTGTTAATGTAATGCCTGGTGAGTTTAATTTGGATTGCTTCATATTCAGGAACCAACATTGTCTTGTTTGGAATTTAGAAGGAATTCAAAGGCTTTAGAAACAGTATCAGGCATCTCAGGCAGCTCATACATGTCCGTAGAGAGGCATTCAAGGATTTGACTGAGCAGCCTGGTGCACAGTATGATTTTGATCAGTAGAAGGCTTCTGCTGCCTGATGAGAACAGCTGTACTTAACATAATTTTGGAGAGATGACATTAGGGCTATCTAGCTTCAGGTCCAGGTATTTTTAACAGATGCCCAAAGGCTGTTATGCTACAGTTAAAGTTCTGGCATTATTTCAGGGGTAAGTGTATTTAATTTGGTTCTTTACCTGTACGACTCAAATGCAATTGAGATTCAGAAGCTGACAGAAATACTAACAGTAGCAAGGAAAGGTTTTCTGTGATTTATCAAATGAGAGTTTTCAGCTTCACATGTGAGAAGACCCTGTTTTACCTCCCAAACTTTGCTGTGGGACAAAGTTCTTGGGCATAGATCTTGGTATAGATGTTATTATTGTTATAAACTTTTGTTTCTGTTGTTTGTGCCTTTAATAGCAACATAACTGGGTAATTAGTTCTGTGGATTTTTAACATTCTTTGCTTATGAAATTTTGTTTACAATCCATAAACCATAGGGAGAGGACTACTGTATGAACCAATCTTGTATATAATATTGATGTGATAATCCACTAACTTTGCTTAACATGCTTATCATTAATTCTTCACATTTTGCTGTTTCGTGGTTTGATTTTTGGCAATGTAGGGGTGAATGGCTGGTGGTTTTGACAGACCCATGAAAAACTCAATTTTTAATTTATTTTTAAAAATCTAGATTCTGGTTGTTATACTCTTCTTAAACTAGAACACAATTCTAAGAACACGTGAACATTTTAACAGTTGAATGTCTACCTGAACCCTTAACAGTCTCCATCTCATTTTCCCTTCCCCTTCTTTCCAATTACCGATTATTGGAAACATTGTTACTGATTTTCCTTAGGAAATAATGTTCTAGCTTGTACCTACAAAGATGTTTCCATTCTTCAACAATGT